AAGATAATCAAGTGCAAAACTTAATACTCAAAACATAAATTGCATACCTTAGACCCACGGGGGTGCCTCTCTTTTATAATATACTCAATCCAAGTCCTACTAGAAGTATGACTTCTATGAACTCCAATTTAGTGTTTACTTTGGACTCTTTAAGAGATAAAGATAAACTCCCTAAGAGCTTTATCCTTATCTTGGTTAAGTCCCCTCTTCGTCTTAGGACTCTTGTCCATTATTCGTTTATCTCGGATTCCGATATCTTCGGAGTTAACCTCGGCCTCGCCGAGATCATCTCGGTGTCACGACCAGGACACGTGGCACCTCGGCTGACACGTCGGCGTCACCATGCCACGTGTTGGTATTCAGAAAATATATCCCCACATTATATATATATATATATATATGAAGGAAAACACCAATTACATCAGCTGGTCATTCAATATAAGATTTTATGAATAAACTTTAAAATATATATATAATCATTTGCAAACTATTTGTATTTGTCAAGCCTAACTATTTTTGTGTCCCATGAAAATCAACTATGAAACCTTCAAATTTACCCTTTCCTATTTTTTTTTTCTATCACAAATCTATCTGCAATTCTAAGTTTCAGACTCAAAAGGGTAGTATAATAATAGCAGGGGAAAAACAAAAAAAGGAGCTGGAAATAGAGATATACCATTAATTTTTGAGGGGTGGCTTCAAACAATAACCCAATTCTTGCCTTCTACTCTTTCTTTGGGCATGTGAATCGACTGGTTATTAGTGGGCCATGAGGCCCATGGGTTGGTTCTGTATTCAACTAAAGTGAAAACTAGTTTGAAAAATGAGAAGGAACCATTGAAAGTTAGGCTGCTGGCATGTTATTTTAGTACGTTTTTAGTTTTTTAGTTAAAATATAAAGTTAAAAAAAAAATAAAAATACTCCCTCTATTTAGTTTGGAGTTTTCAAAAACAGTTTTCTCAACTTTTAATTCGTATTTTTTGTATTTTTATTGATGTTTAAAAATATTTTACATGATTTTTTTTAACTTTTTAGATCCACTTAATTTTGATATGGTTAAAATGTATAAGATTTGCAAAAAAACCTTTAACAAAAGTAATTAAATAAAATAAATTACAAAAATGTATTGAATTTTTTTATTTCTTTTGTATTTGCACTACAAGAAAACTGGGTTTATGAGACGAAACTTTTTGCGACGGCTTGTTGTCGCAAAAAACGTGACCTTTTGAAACGGCATAACTTGCTGTCGCAAACAACGTGACTTTTTGAGACGGCACAACTTGCCGTCGCAAAAAAATGTGACGTTTTGAGACGGCACAACTTGCCGTCGCAAAAAATGTGAGTTTTTAAGACGGCACAACTTGCCGTCGCAAAAAATAGAGTATTTGCAACGGCATAAAATGCTGTAGCAAAAAAAAAAAGTATTTGCGACGGTAGAGATTGTTGTCACAAAAAAAGAGAGGTTTTGCGACAGCACAAGCTGTAGTCGCAAAAAAAAAAAAATGCGTCTTTAATAGGTACCGTTGCAAAAAAAAATAATAATAATAATACATATATATATATTGTGGCTTTGAGACAGCTTCATATATATAGTCACAAAATGGTTTAAATAAATGCAACAATATTTTTCTATCACAAAAAAAAAAAATAAAAAAAAACGACGTCGTCTTACTCTTTTGAACATTTCTCTTTTCACCCATTTTTTCATCTTCCTATCTCTCTGTCTCTGTCTCTGTCTCTCTTCTCTTTTTCTCTCTTACTCATCACTCTTCTCTGTCTGTCTGTATCTCTCTTTCTCTATTTGTCTCTATCTCTTTTCTCTCTCTCTCTCTCTCTCACTCATCACTCTTCTCTGTCTGTCTGTCTGTCTCTTTCTCTCAGTGTCTCTGTCTCTCTTCTCTTTCTCTCTCTCACTCATCACTCTTCTCTGTCTATTTGTCTGTCTGTCTGTCTGTCTCTTTTTCTGTGTCTCTCGTCTATTTCTCTACTCTCTATCTCTTTTATCTATCTTCTCTCTCTTTTTTTTTCTCTCTCGCTCATCTCTCTCTGTCTCTCTCTCGTTTATCTCTTTTCGCTCTTTTTTTTCTCTCTCTCTCTGTCTCTCTCTCTTTGTCTATATCTTTTCACCCATTTTTTCATCATCTTCTCTCTCTTTTCTTTCTCTCTCTTATTCATCAAGCTTCTCTCTCTGTCTGTCTATTTCTCTCTCTCTCTGTCTCTGTCTCTCATTCATCTATCTCTTCTCTCATCTCTTTTCTTTCTTTGTCTCTTTCGCTCATCTCTCTCCTCTCTATCTCTCTCACCAATCTCTCTTCTCTCTACCTTTCTCACCTCTCTCTCGTTCATCTCTCGCTCATCTCTCTTCTCTCTGTCTCTCTCGTTCATCTTTCTTCTCTTTTCTGTCTCTTTTTTTGTCTTTCACTCTCTATCTCTTTCTTTTCTCTCTCTCTCTCTCTTCTTTATCTCTTTGTCTCTCTCCTCCATTGTGTTCACCTTGCTCACTCTCTTCGTCTCATCTTCTCTATTTACCGAGTTCTCCACTATAAGAAAATGCACTTTTAGCGACCACTTTGTCTTTCTCTCGCTCATCACTCTGTCTTTGTCTCTCTCTCTATCTCTCTTCTCTATCTGTCTCTCACCACCCATCTCCTCTACCACATTCACCACTACTACAAATGTCATTCCACTACTACCACTGTTGCCACTCCACCTCTACGACTATCATTACTACTACCATCGCTACCACTCCACTACCACCACTACTACTACCATTACCTCTCCACCACCACCGCTACTCTATCTCCTATACTATTACCACAACTTCACCACTAATCTCCTTCGCCACCACTACCACCACCACTATCACCTCTTATCCACCACCTTCACCACTACTGCCACTCCCTATCCTCTACTACAAAAAATTAGTTCTTGATTTTTAGTAATCAAAAAAATAAAATAAAAAAATAAACCGCAAAAAAATATTTTTCATTGACCACAAAAAATTAACTTTATTTTAATGGAAAATATTTTTCATTAAAATATTATTCCTACTTCTACCAAATAAAAAAAAAAATATTTTTTTATTCATTAAAATAAAATGAAACAAATAAATTTTCAACTTAATAACTAAAAATAAATAAAAAAATTCATTAACTATAAAAAAAAATTATTTTAACAAAAAATAAATTTTATTATCATCGTGAAAAAAAAAAGATTTTATTATTTAAATATTCATTTATAGTGGAAATTAAAAAAAAATGATTTTATTATTTAAATATTCGTTTATAATGGAAATTAAAATAAAAATAAAAAAATTCTCATTCCCCCCCTTCTTTCCATTCCCACTCCCCTCCTTCCCAAAAACCCAAAATCCCCAATCTGTTTCTTGTTTTCCATTCCCGCTCCCCCCTCCCCCCAAAAACCCAAAATCCCCAATCGGGTTCTCCCCCAAAACCCCAACCTCTTCAACCAAAATCCCCCCCGAAAAACCCAAAATCCCCAATCTCTCCTTCCGTTTATCTCTCTACCCATTTGTCTCTCTAGGTTTTAGGGTTTTGAGTGTGAGAGAGATGGGGCAACAGTCTTTGATCTACAGCTTCGTGGCTAAAGGAACAGTGGTTCTCGCCGAACCCATACGTTTCTCATCCGCCCCTTCCTTCTTCAGCTACCAAATCCACGGCCTTCTTAAACTCTCACAAATGGGTACGTCTCTCTCTCTCTCTCTCTCTCTCTCTCTCGTCTATATCTTTTCACCAATTTTTTCATCTTTTTCTCCCTATTTTCTTTCTCTCTCTCATTCATCAATCTTCTCTATCTGTCTGTCTATTTCTCTCTCTCTCTCTCTCTCTCATTCATCTATCTCTTCTCTCATCTCTTTTCTTTCTTTGTCTCTTTCGCTCATCTCTCTTCTCTCTATCTCTCTCACCCATCTCTCTTCTCTCTATCTCTCTCACCTATTACATATTTGGTCTAAGATGTTGCAGTGTAGGCCTGAACTTATTGAACTGCAATAGAGTGTGGAGTATATGTCTAGTGGAGTGAAATTTTTATTTTTTCAGTATTACATATTTGGTCTAAGATGTTGCAGTGTAGGCCTGAACTTATTGAACTGCAATAGAGTGTGGAGTATATGTCTAGTGGAGTGAAATTTTTATTTTTTCAGTATTACATATTTGGTCTAAGATGTTGCAGTGTAGGCCTGAACTTATTGAACTGCAATAGAGTGTGGAGTATATGTCTAGTGGAGTGAAATTTTTATTTTTTCAGTATTACATATTTGGTCTAAGATGTTGCAGTGTAGGCCTGAACTTATTGAACTGCAATAGAGTGTGGAGTATATGTCTAGTGGAGTGAAATTTTTATTTTTTCAGTATTACATATTTGGTCTAAGATGTTGCAGTGTAGGCCTGAACTTATTGAACTGCAATAGAGTGTGGAGTATATGTCTAGTGGAGTGAAATTTTTATTTTTTCAGTATTACATATTTGGTCTAAGATGTTGCAGTGTAGGCCTGAACTTATTGAACTGCAATAGAGTGTGGAGTATATGTCTAGTGGAGTGAAATTTTTATTTTTTCAGTATTACATATTTGGTCTAAGATGTTGCAGTGTAGGCCTGAACTTATTGAACTGCAATAGAGTGTGGAGTATATGTCTAGTGGAGTGAAATTTTTATTTTTTCAGTATTACATATTTGGTCTAAGATGTTGCAGTGTAGGCCTGAACTTATTGAACTGCAATAGAGTGTGGAGTATATGTCTAGTGGAGTGAAATTTTTATTTTTTCAGTATCACATATTTGGTCTAAGATGTTGCAGTGTAGCCCTGAACTTATTGAACAGCAATAGAGTGTGGAGTATCAGCATCCACAGATTTTCTTTTGAGTTGCATATTCTTTGATATTAATACTTCATTGTAAAAGTTCATGTTAGTATATCTATGACTTATTTTGTTTGCTGTCTAAATAATGTCTGTGCTTTCTATTGAATAGGTTTTTTCCAATGTAAACCCAACTGTCCTGGATCAATTGAGGACTATTGACCGCATCATTTATGCTATGGGATCCCTTTTTACTTCCATCTGCCCATCTCTGGTAACACTATCAACCAAACTGAAACTTTTTCGGGATAGTCTTTGCAATTTTAATTAGTTATTTATTTTTTGTTTTCAGTAGGCAAGCTTGTATTACTAAGAAAAACTAGAAAAAGGTGAAGTGGATATACAAATCAGTTTTGTCACCAGAAGGATCATTGTCAAGGCCCATTACAGAGATCTTTTTGTGATATTATAATATTATGGGGTTATTATAGAAACGTGAGTCTTGGGCTATTAAAGCAGCTGAAAATACATGAACATTGCTTCTTTGCTCTCTTATTAAAACTTGTCAGTCATTTAAAGGATTTTTATGGTTGCTACTTGCTATGTCATACTCCTATCACATGCTGGAGGTTTGGTGGCTTATCTACTCCATGTTTTAATTTGTTCATCTATCAGTTAATCAATTGAACGGAACTATGATTGACAAAGATACTTGGAATTCATAAATAAACTGAGGCATATTCTTATGTTCACCTTATTTAAATTATTTGCTGTACTAATTATGCATTGTATATCTAAGCTTATCTACTAATCTAAAATTTGAATGAAAATATGTTCTTGGAACTCTTTCTGTTGCCTTACTTTGATCACTGTTGTGGGTAATGGTTCTCTAATCTTGTTTTTTTCTGTTGATATGAAACAGTTGTCATCAGTGGTTTGTTAATTGGGAAAACAAAAGAAAGTTTTTAATTTCTATCTTGTACTGATCATTCTCCATACATAGGTTTTACTTGGCATTGGGGAGATCATCGCTTCAAGGTCTTGCCCCAAGGTAATCTTCTATCAAGGCATCATGTGTATGATCTTTGACTAGAAAAGAGTCTGTCGAGTAATTGTTGTAAATTTGGTTGATAGTTCAGGAAGTTACTAATTCCTTTGTGATTGGCTCTGCTGAAAATATTCAGTTAAGGCCCTTAATTCCTTTGATGTTCGGATGACATTAATTATATTCGAAGATTCTAGCTATTAAACACCTATCGTGGCTCTTATTATGTAGGGTTTTCAACATTGTTATGTTGTATTAATGCATTTACTTCCTTTATAGGTACTTTTGTTGAATGGTATTCATGACCGAGAAACTAGCGGCTTTTCTGTTGCTTGCTTTGTAAGTGCCATTGCAGATGCTCTAAATCGAACTTATGGAGATCCTCATAATTGTCTCAAGAACCATGTAAGTAGGTAAATTGAATTGTTAAAACTGTTTACATGTCAAGTAAATTTATTATAATAATATCATAAATAAATTTCTTTAAAGGATACTTGTTAGTCTATAAATCGGCAAAACAACTTTATTTGCAATGAAATTTTATTTCTCAGGTTGCTTGTGTATGCTGAGGATTCTAATTTGGTATCTCGAAAATATGTCAATATTTCTTTCTTTGTTGTTTTCATTACATGGAATATGTGCAAATTAATGGATTTTTTTTGCTTTCTAGAGGTTTGGTTGTATGAGGGCTTGTAAGTAAAGAATGTTTTTGCTTACTGGACTCACTTGCAAGAGTGTTGATCATGGGTCCTACTAAGAGATGTTTGCACTACATAGGTGCTATGTTGCAAGTGTCCAAGAAGTTTCATTGTAGTGCCCAAAGTTATGCAATTTATTTTCACTATCCCCTCTTCAACATTGTATTGAACATTTCTGATTCTGTTAAAATTTTTCTATACAAGGCCACCACAGTTATAGCTGCAGCTGATCAAATTGCCTTTCATATTCTAGGTGTCCTTGAAGCTCATTGTAGTGCCCAAAGTTATGCAATTTATTTTCACTATCCCCTCTTCAACATTGTACTGAACATTTCTGATTCTGTTAAAAATTTTCTATACAAGGCCACCACAGTTATAGCTGCAGCTGATCAAATTGCCTTTCATATTCTAGGTGTCCTTGAAGCGTTTTTTAGCATGGAGACCCACAATTTTGCAGTGTAATGGCCGGACAGGGGGTGACAGTTAGGCAAGGAGGGTTTGTGTGTCATAATGCCTTCACAATGACTTGAATCCTCAGCATGTAAAATATGGGTCCCAAAGTAAATGGTTCATCCTGTCTAGATCTCAATTTTATTTATGAAAGTGAGAATTTAAATGCAATTTGTTTTATTATTTTAGTAATGAAATTTGGTTTATGTTATTTTGAATTATGAACAAAATCATGTATTTAAACATTATATATGTATTATGGAACATTATGTAGTGGGATAATTTTGTTAATGTGTAATTATATGAATGGAAAAATATTTTATTATGAAGAAATTGTTATTTTTATATTATTATGGAGAAATTTTAATATTTTTAATATTTTTATCGCAGGATGTTTTTTTTTCTTTTTTGCGACGGCATTACACCGTCGCAAAAAATAGAAAATTTTAATAGTTTTATAAATTTTGTTATAGGTTTTACTTTTTGCGACAGAATTATACTGTCGCAAAAAATAGAAATTTATTATTTTTTAATACTTTTTGCGACGGCATTACACTGTCGCAAAAAAAGAAATTTTCATATTTTTAATACTTTTTGCGACGGCACAACACCGTCGCAAAAACAGTGTTTTGCCGTTGAAAAAAAAGACTATTAGCGACGGTATTTTTTGCCGTCTCAAATAACATTTTTAGCGACGGTAAAATAGTGCTGTAGCAAAAAAGTCAAGAAATTTTAAACGTTATTAGCGACTTCACAGTGTCGTCGCAAAAAGGCAAAAATGCTGTCGCAAAAACAAAAACTCTTTTGCAACCCCTCCATTTGCGACCCCCTCTTGCCGTCGCAAAAAGTTATTTTTCCGTCGCAAAAAGTATTAGCGACGGCAGTAGGAGCATTAGCGACGGTATTTTACCGTCGCAAAAAGTCAATTTTTTTGTAGTGTTGATGAAGTTTTTGAAGTTTTTTTCACAAATATTATACCTTTTAAATATATATATATATAGAGAGAGAGAGATCAGTTGTACGTAAAAAATAACTATTTTTTGTAAAATATTAAAAAAAATCACTAAAAAAATACAAAAAATAAAAAACTTAATTTTCAGAAAAACAATGTAAACCAAATAAGGTGTATGTTTAGGATGACCTTTTTTTTATATATATGAAAAAATACGCAAACAGTAGAGAGAAAATAAATTTTTTGACTTTTCTATCTAATTTATCAATTTTTTAACTTTTAAGCCAAAATAAACACTTTCCAAATGAGACCTTAGTGTTGTTATGAACTTAGGCTCCTGCTCATCTAACTTTGGTAATATGTGCAAGCACTTTGTTAGTAGAGGACAGGGATGGAACTAGGAGAAGGTTATAGGAGGCCATGGGGGAGCATCTATTTACACACACCACTCTCTCTCTATACACATCCTTCACACACAATTTTCCAACACACTCTCTCATTAAGTGTGTGGGAAGAGGGGATATGATGTGTGTAAATAGAAGCTCCCGGGGCCATGGCCCCCTTTTGTGAAAGATGTTATTTGCTTCAACAAAAATTATATATCTTACTTTTCTCTGACTTTGCATTCTCTTTTTATTTTGCACAAAAAAATTTCTTCATCCAATATCAAATTACTTTCATGTGTGTTTGGTAACGTTTATGTTTTCAGTTTATATTTACAAAAATTTTACAAACTGATTTTTGTTTATTTTTTGTTTATTTTTAAAAAAAACATAAACTGCAAACGCGTTTGGTAATTGACAAAATGTTTAAAAAAATTTAAAAATATAAAAAGAGTGAGAAATAGTAAGTGGTGGCAAGTGACGGCGGAAGACGGTGGTGGAAAGTGATGACGGTGGGTGGTGGGTAGCTGGTGGTGGCGGGTGGGTAATGGTGGTGGTGGTGGTGGGTGGGTGGCAGGTGGCTAGTGGTGGTGGGTAGCTGGTGGTGGATGGTGGTAGCAGGTGGATGGTGAGTGGTGGTGGCTGGTGGGTGGCTGGTGGGTGGTGGTGGCGGGTAGTGGTGGCAGGTGGGTGGTGAGTGGTGGTGGCAAGTGGTGGTGGGAGGTGGGTGGTGGGTAGTGGTGGCGGAAGACGGTGGTGGAAAATGGTGGCTAGTGTTGGGGGGAAAAAAAAAAAAACTTATCATTTCCCTTTTAGTTTATTTTATTTTTTTCCTATAAATTTAAGATTCAAACATAGCATTAATATTCTATCCTTACACACATCCTTAATGATTAATTTTTGTGCGCATGGCCCTTTAACTTTTTGCTTTCAATACTCCAATTTGGAGCATCCAATCTTTTTATTTTAATTTTTGAGACAAATCCTCCTATATCATATATGGTTTAATCATGTTGTAATGGAGCTAATAGATATTTTAAATGAGCTTTGGCCAAGAGGTGGGTGGTGGCGAGGGGTGGATGGTGGTGGCGAGTGGGTGGCAGGTGGTGGTGGGGGGTGGGTGGGGAGTGGTGGTGGCGGAAGACGGTGGTGGAAAATGGTGGCGGGTGGTAGCTAGTGTTGGGTGGTAAAAAAAAAAAAAACTGAAAACTCAAAATGGAAACACATTTTTTGTGTTTTCATTTTTGGCCAAATTTATAAACTGAAACCACTGATTTATAAATCAAAAATTTTATCAAACAAGTTTTTATTTGAGTTTTTAAAATTTTTGTAAATATAAACAGAAAATAGAAAACGTAAGTGTTACCAAACGACACCATTGTCTGATTTATTTTGATTTATTTTTTGTGTAGATATAACTTACATATCATATTATATTTACATGTTTGCTATTGTATATGGTGAAAATTTTTAATTCAAATTTTAGCCCCTCTAATAATAAAATTCTTATTTCATCCCTAGTAGAGAAAAGTTCTAAATTGAGATTACAATAACATTGACCAAGGGTTCGTTTGGGAAGTGGATTGGCTTTTTGGCTATTTTAGCCTAGGGCTAAAAAGCTTTATTTGGGAAAGACTTTTTGACTTTTTGTAAGAGAAAAAATGTAATGATTATGAGTTGGATGTGATGTTTTGTTTTATTGTGCTAAAAAACCTTTTTTATCTTTGGTGACTAAAATAGCCCCAAACCCAACCCAACTCTTCCTCCCAAATGAAGCCTATGTATTTTTTTTCAATTACATTTTTTTTTCTTTTCCAATTGATCTTTAACTAAGTCTTCTATTTTTCAACGTAGTATTTGCATTAACACCACCATACTATAAAGACATTTAAGTTTTTTTCCCAAAGTCGTCACTCTTTCTGTTGGGCCAGTAAACCCTGATAAGTACTGTTCACTTGAATACTGGATCCAATGGGGGGTTTGGGGGGAGCCTCCTCCCAAGGGGGATGGGTGATGAAATTTTTTGGGTACTTTCGTAATCCCCATATTATTTCCGTGCAACCCTAATTCTATACTTGTAAATAGATAAGAGGGCGCCTCTTTTAGGTTAAGAGAGTTGTATTTTTCTGATCATAATGAAAACCACAGCAACCATGGACGTAGCCCTATTATGGGATGAACTACATAAATCCTTGTGTTCTTATTTGTGTAATTTGTTTGATTTGTTTTTTCTTCCTTATTTGTTATTTCGTATCTCACCAATCTTGGTTAGAAGGGTTAATTCCTAACAACTGGTATTAGAGCATTAGTTCGAGTGGAAGCGATGGCTATAGATGAAAAGGTTAGAATCAATACATTCAATGGCATAGATTTTGGATTTTGGAAGATGCAGGTTGAAGACTATTTGTATCAGAAAAAACTATATGAGCCCCTTTTAGGGACGAAACCAGAAAAGTTGAAGAATGATGAGTGGACTCTTCTTGATCGCCAAGCGCTAGGTGTTATCCGGCTAACGTTGTTTTCGTAATGTTGCGTTTAACACAACAAAGGAAAAGACTACAGCGGGTCTCATGGCGGCATTCTCAAACATGTACGAAAAACCTTCTACCTCAAATAAAGTTTATTTGATACGTAGATTGTTTAATTTGAGGATGCCAAAAGGTGCTTCAGTGGCTGAGCATTTGAACAAATTCAATATTGTGGTAACACAATTGAGTTCTGTATTTATCGAATTTGATGATGAGGTTAGGGCTTTGATTCTTTTATTTAGTTTGCCAGAGAGTTGGAATGATACTGAAATGGCAGTGGGTAATTCTTTGGGGAAAGAAAAGTTGAATTATAATGATATTCGAGATTTAATTCTGAGTGAAGAAATTCATAGGAGGGAATTAGGGGAAACATCAGGTTCTGCCCTGAATACAAAAGCCAGGAAGATCAGTAGAGAGAAACCCGAATCGCAATAGATCAAAATCCAGACACAGAAGCAAGTCAAGAACTAAAGAATGGCGGAGTTGTAGGAACTGTGGAAAGAATGGACATCTAAAACGAGATTACCCGACATTGAATAAGAATAAAGGTGATCAAAATCAAAAGTCTACTAATACTACAATGGATGAGATTTATGATGCTTTGATCTTGAGTATTGATAACCCTATTGAATCTTGGATTTTAGATTTTGGGGCATCATTCCATTCTACTTCACAGAGGGAAATCATGGACAATTACATTGGTGGTGATTTCGGGAAAGTTTATTTGGCTGATGATGGACCTTTGAAGATTGTGGGTAAAATGGATGTAACAATCAGGATGCCAAAAGGATCTGTTTGAAAGATACGTAACGTCAGACATGTGCTTGGTTTGAAAAAAAACTTGATTTCTATTGGACAACTTGATGATGAAGGTCACGTTGTAACTTTCATGGGTGGTTTGTGGAAAATCACCAAAGGAGTCATGGTTGTTGCTCGTGGTCAAAAAGACGACAACCTTTACATGACTACGAAAAATAGGGATGCAGTAGCAGTAGCAGTTACTAGTGAGAAGGAAGACTCAAATCTGTGGCACCAAAGACTTGGACATATAAGTCAAAAATAGATAAAGGAACTTGCATCTAAAGGGAAACTGTCAGATTTGAAATCGGTGGACATTGACTTTTGTGAGGATTGCATCTTCGGCAAATAAAAGAGGGTCAGTTTTTCAAAGGATGACAGGAAACCGAAGTCAGAAAAGTTAGAGTTGGTTCATATAGATGTATGGGGACCTACACCAATTTCATCTCTTGGAGGATCATCATATTATGTTACCTTTATCGACAACTTAATGAGAAAGATATGGGTTTATTTTCTGAAACATAAATTTGAAATTTATACTACTTTTAAGAAGTGGAAAACCTTGGTAAAGACTGAAACAGATCTGAAAATTAAGTGCTTGAGATTAGATAATGAAGGGGAATATGATGACAATGAGTTCAAAAAATATTATGCAGATAATGGAATTAGAATGGAGAAGATTATTTGAAAGACACCTCAACATAATGGCATTGCAGAACGCATGAATAGAACTCTGAATGAACGTGCTAGAAGCATGAGAATACATGTCAAATTACCAAAAATGTTTTGGGCAGATGCAATTAACACTGCATTATATTTGATTAACCATGGTCCATTTGTTTTATTGGATGGAGAGTTACAAGAAGAAGCTTGGAGTAGTAAAGAGGTAAATCTTTGTTTTTTTGAAGGTATTTGGCTGTGTTTCATATGTGCATATAGATTTTGCTGATAAAAGTAAACTTGATCCGAAATCTATTAAATATACTTTTATTGGGTTTGGCATTGATCAATTTGGTTATCAATTTTGGGATGATAAAAATCAAAAAATAATCAGAAATAAAGATGTCATATTTGATGAGAAAGTAATGTATAAAGATAAGGATAAGTTTGCAACTGAATCTGAATCTAAATTTGTTACTTGTCACGAGCATGTTGAGTTAGAGGAGATTAGTGAGAGTGATTTGAATAGTAGGATTCAAAATAATCCTGAAAATTTTATTCCACAAACTGAGCCACATACTCCTACTTCTAAGTTGAGATGGTTAAAAAGAGAGTCTAAACCCACAGCATTGGTCTCCATCTTTACATTATTTGTTGTTGTCTGATGTACGTGAACTCGAAAGTTATGATGAGGTTTTGCAAGTTGATGATTCAAGGGGAGTTAGCTATGCAGGATGAAATAGATTCACAGTTGATTGAATTACCAGTGCGTAAGAAAGCTTTGCACAAGTGGGTTTACAGGGTCAAACAGGAACATGATGAGAGTAAACGCTATAAGGCCAGATTGGTTACAAAGGGATTTCAACAAAAGGAAGGGGTTGACTACATTGAAATTTTCTCTCCAGTTGTTAAGTTGACCACTAGCAAATTAGTACTAGGAATTGTGGCTGCTGAAGATTTGCATCTTGAGTAGATGGATGTGAAGATGACTTTTCTCCATGGCGATTTGGAAGATGAAATTTATATGAAGCAACCACAAGGTCTCTTAGCACGTGGCAAAAGGAATTTGTATGCAAACTTCGAAAAAGCTTGTATGGTTTAAAACAAACCCCAAGGCAGTGGTACAAGAAGTTTATGTATAGCAGCGGTTTTACAAGATGTCAAGCAGATTATTGTTGTTATTTCAAGAGGTTTGACAAAAGTTATATTATTTTTCTCTTATATGTTGATGATATGTTTATCGCAGGACTTAGCATTGAAGAGATAAAAAGATTGAAGAAACTCTTGTTCTACCAATTTGAGATAAGGATCTTGGAGTTGTAAACAAAATCCTTGGTATGAAGATTCACAGGGACAAGGAAAATGGTACTTTAAAGTTGTCACAAGCTGAGTATGTTAAGAAAGTTCTCAAGAGGTTTAGCATGGATAGTGCAAAACCAGTGAGCTCTCCATTGTTAGCCACTTTAGACATACCAAATAGTAGTCTCCAAAGACTGAAGAAGAGCAGGCTTACATGGAATGTGTTCCAAACGCTTCAGTTATTGGTAGCATAATGTATGCTATTGCTTGTACTAGGCCAGACATTGCATATGTAGTGGGAGTGGTTAGTAGGTACATGTGTAATCCAAGCAAGCAACATTGGGAGACAGTGAAATGGATCCTTAAATACTTGAGTGGTACTATAGACATGGCACTTCGTTTCAAACGAACCGGCATTGAGTTACATGGTTATGTTGATGTAGACTTAGTTGTGATATGGATAACAAAAAGAGTACTACTAGTTATGTTTACACGTTGGGTTGTACAACAGTGAGTTAAATTTCACAGTTACAGAAGATTGTGACCCTTTCTACAACAGAGACTGAGTATGTTGCTATTACTGAAGCTAAGAAGGAGATGACTTGGTTACAGAATTTCCTAGCAGAGTTGGGTAAGATGCAAGAGATGTGTATTTTGTATAATGACAGTCAGAGTGCTATTCATCTTACAAAGAATCTGACTTTTCATTCTAGGACGAAACAGATTCAGCTATGATACCATTTCATTCGTTCACTTGTAGATGATGGAGTCTTGTCTCTTGAGAAGATTCAAGACAGTAAGAATCCAACAAATATGTTGACCAAGAGAGTCACTATTCAAGATTGATGAAGGAAGATCGAGTTGTTACGTGGTGTTATCAGGTTCCAAGTGGGAGATTGTTGGGTTGGTGGACTCTGATAAGTACTGTTCACTCAAACACTAGGTCTAATGAGGTTTTAGGACGCCTCTTTTAGGTTTAGAAAGTTGTATGTTTTTTATTATGGTGAAAACCGCCGCAGTTGTGGACGTAGCCTTATTCTGGGGTAAACCACATAAATCATTGTGATCGTACGTGTGATTTGTTTGATTCATTTTTTCTTCCTTATTTGTTATTTTGTGTCTCACCGATCTTGGTTAGGAAGGACCAATTTCTAACAACTTCATATGTATAAGCATCCAAATCCAAATTTCATTGCCCAATTGAACAATTTGGTGAAATTCACCAGAACTAACGCTATGTTTAGATTTTGAATTTGTCCAAAAAGAATAGATTTTATAACAATTATCTATCCCTTTGTTTATTTAGATAGAAAATATTTTTTGAAAAATATTTTTTTGTATTTTTTAGTGTTTGGTACAACAGAAAACAAAAGTCAATGGAAAATATTTTCCATGATCAATGAAAAATAATCTTATTTGGACAAAAAATATTTTATACTTTTAAAAGGAGAAAAATGTTTTGCGGACCAAAATTTTACCAATGTTACCATACTACTATCATCATAGTCATCGCCACCATCATCGTTGCCATCACCACGGTTGTCCATGCTATCACCTCCATCTCTACCTTCATTTCACTACCAGTACTACCAAATATAAAAAAAAAATTTCTATTCAAACAAATAGACGGTAATTACTTTACCCTATTTTGTTTTTCTTTTTCTTTCACTTCACAAACTCAAGTTCACAAACATATGTATCATACATTGGGATAGCAAACCCACAAAAAAAATAGTTAATTGGGCTGGGCTTTAAAAAATGTCCAAGAACATGTAAATGGACAAACCCGAAGACGGCCCATCCTAACCAACCGGATAGGCCAGACCGATATATATAATCTGATGTAATGAAACCCTAATCCCTCTCGTTTTTAGGGTTCGTTCTTCGGATAGTCTCAGGCACAGAGAGAGAGAGAGAGAGAGAGACTGCCATGGGTAAGCAACAAGAAGCCCTGAACTCTTGTATTCTGATTCGATTGTTGTTGTTGTGTGAATTTGGGTAACAATGGTGTATGTTGTTGTTGTATATTACAGCGAGGATCAAGGTTCATGAGTTGAGACAGAAATCAAAGGCAGAGTTGCAGAGCCAATTAAAGGATCTCAAAGCTGAGCTCTCCCTTCTTCGTGTCGCCAAGGTCACTGGCGGTGCTCCCAACAAGCTCTCCAAGATGTACTCTCTCTCTCTCTCTATATATATATATATATACACACATATATAGATCTCATTCATAATATTGGTTCTCTCTTTTCTTTTTCTATGTTTCTATTGCTTTTGTGTCATTTACTCTTGATTTGATACTCAGAAATGTTGGCACTTGTTTGCTATTAACTAGTCTTTCAGTATAATTGCATGAAATATGTTGATGGAGATACTTAATCAAAAGTGACACACAGGAAAAGAAATAGTTTATAATTTTGTTGGTGCTTATGTTCCGATGGATTGCAATTGGGTTGTCTGTCTACGGATTTTAATTTTAAGCTTCCGTTAGGTACTAATTTGATGAAGTTAGGGTGTGTTTTGTCATCTTACAAAAATATTGTACATTGTATATTGCATCTGGACATGCAGAATCATCGTGTAAATGGGGTGTTATCGGAAATTGGAGCCATCACCACAAGTGATGGTACAAAATGGATTTATCATGAAATGCAACCTTCAAAACTACGATTTTCTATTTTGACCTCCGTTTATGATGAGTGTTCTGCATGTAGATTGTGCATAAATCACAATGAGGGCAAGTTTTGGTTGGAAAAATTGGAAAAACCAAGGGAACCTTTGCTTTTTATGTGCTTTTGGATCTCTATTTCACAATGTTTTTATTAAAAGGGGGAATACAAAAAGGTGTCAAATGGACAAAATAATTGCAAATTCATGTATGTACAAGACCCGCTTACAAAAAATCTAGTGCATGAACACATGTAGTTTCATGAGTTTGAAATTATATTCCTTCCCCCTTTTTTTATATCCCCCCTTATTAAAAAGCTTTCATTTATGTAGAGTAAGTTTTTTGTTTTTTAAACATATCTAAGTATGTTTTTGATGTTTGCATGAATGCAGAAAAGTGGTGAGGTTGTCCATTGCCCAGGTGTTGACCGTGATTTCACAGAAACAGAAGTCTGTTTTGAGGGAAGCCTACAAGAACAAGAAGTACTTGCCACTTGATCTACGTCCCAAGAAAACCAGAGCCATCCGTAGACGCCTCACCAAGCATCAGGTATAATTTTACACACTATTATGTTCTTTGACCATATCTTTCTTGTAATGTTTACAATGCTACCTGGTTGATTTGTAATAATTTATGATTGTGAAACAAAAAATACCTTTCCATGATCTTGTTAATTTGATATCACAAGACAAGGTTTGCACGAATTGCAATATAACTTGCAGTATACATTTGTGCAAGGTGTAATAAAATTACGGAACAATATAGGGCTTGTAGATTTTTTTAAAGTTTGCCCATTTGCTTTGTTCTCACAGGCATCACTGAAGACTGAAAGGGAGAAGAAGAAGGAGATGTACTTTCCTATGAGGAAGTATGCTATTAAGGTGTAGGGTAGGATCTACTATATGGTGGATTTTTGTGCTTATGCATCCATATATCTACTCCAATCATGAATTTTGGAATTTTGTTTACATTTATGCTACTTTTGGAGGACTTGAAAGTTTGATTTTGTATTTTTTTAAAATTTGTGACTAGTAAGCTTTGGTGCTCACATCTCTCCTGTTGCTAGGTATTTTTTTTGTCTCATTTAATAGTTGATGAGGGTTTTGGTTCAATTTTGATGGTGGATGCTTGACCAGTTATGTTTTGGGGAATATCTTTGTGAATTACTTGTGGCTTGTATTATTGACAACAATTTACTTGATATGAAGATTAATAGGTTGTCAATCCTGTATACCCATTGTCTTCTTGTGCTCTTGGATGTGTGTTTTCCTTTGGTGTCATTGTAGAGAAGGATTTCGCCTGGCGCAATAGTTCTTTCATACTGTTATAGTCGTGTGGCAATGCCATTGGCATAACAACCGGTACACCTTAGATTGGGCCCAACCCAGTTCTCTCGTACTAGGTTTGCTCCTCACAGCTCTCTTTAACACCAACAGTAGAACCAAACTATCCCACGATGTTGAAACTCAACTCACGTACTTGGGACCTTTCAGCCCCAGGATGTGATGATTATATATTGAATGCAAGGCAGGTCGGATAGTTAAGGAGCTGAAGGATAGCAAACAAACCAAATGTGATCATGACCTTATCGGCTGTGATTGAGGCCTCGAAAATGAGGCTCGAAATTGCCTCGAATGCTTTTTTTTTTTTTTTTTTTTTTTTTTTTTCTAATACATTGCAGAAAAAAATAAATAAAAAAAATAATAATAATAACAAGCAAAGCTCAAAAAAAAAAAAAAAAGAAGAAAATTCGAGCCAAATTTGAGGCAAAAAATTTGAGGCCTCAATCATTAATCATGACCTTATATTGTGTTGCTTTAGAGCTGTTTATATGATTGCTTGGTGCAGCTTATGTTTATTACAGTTTGTAAAGTAAAAAAAACTTATATAAGTTGAAAAAAATTGATTCTGTAATTTGGGAAAGTGAGTTTTTAACTTCAACAATGATTCATACTATTAAAAAAAAAGGTTACTAATAGCACTAAATGCATTGAGAATGTCCAAAAAAAAAAAAAAAAAAAAAAAAAAAATGCATAAGCAATGGGTGGGATTTATTGTCACATGGGTTCCGTTTAGTAGAGTTGTCAGAAAGTGATTATAACTTATTGTCTAACAGCTTATAACTGTGAACTGAGTTGATTTTTGACTTATAAATTAAGCTTTTTCTCCCATATTCAAAGAATAAGTTGATTTTTGACTTACAAAAAGTTATAAGCTGTATTGTTAAGCTGAATTAAATGCATCAAAATAGTTTAAATTAAGTTAAAAGTTGAAATGAGCCCTAACTTAAATTAAGCTAAAAGTTAAAATAAGTTGGAAATAAACCCTACCAAATAGGGTCATGGTACTATTAGAACATCATTTTTAGTACTCTCAATCATTTTTTATTCATTTTTATATTATTAATAGTGTTATTAGAGCATCACTTTTAATACTTAATCATTTTTCTATTCATGTCATGATGCTTATCGCAAATTTTATGCTCATTGTTCCCATTTGAGCTTGGGAATATTTTCTAATATTTTAGAAGGGTATGTTTGGTTTGAGTTTGAGAGATGAGTTTTAGAGATAAAAAGTACGAAAAGTTGTTTGGTTTGGTTTTTTTTCAAAAGATGTTTTGGAAAATTATTTTGAGAGAGTTTTGGAAAAAATGATTGATTTGATGTGTATGAGAGAGAGATTTGTTTGGAAAACTTGTAAACCAAATAAGTTTTGAGAAATTTTTTTGAAAAAATTTGTTTGGTTTGATTACTTTTAAAAACTTATTTGTAGAGAATTTTTTCCAAAAATTTTTGAGAAACACAAACCAAATAAGACCAAAGTCTTCCCCTGTTCAGGGCAGAGCACCTATCACCCGACCTATTTTGATAAGAGTTTTTGTTTATATTTTAGATCTTAATCATTTATTAAAAAAAATAAAAATTAAAGCGATTCATAATCACTGGCACATGACTATCCGATTGATTTTGAGAAAGATTTTGAAAATACGATACAAAATATATACGATGAAATTATATAAATATAACTATTAGATTAATTTGATTTTTTTAGATGAATAATCTATTTGAATCATCAAAGTAAAATTTTTGACCACTCAAATTGAAATTGAAGGCAATCTAAAACCCATGGGATAATTTCATTTGTTTCATGATAACAAGGATAGAGAGAGTTGAGTAGTACACAGAGGATATGAAAAATAACCAACAATGATTCATCCCACTAAAAACAACACCACTAATAGCACTAATGCATTAAAAAAGTAAAAAAAAAATAAAAAAAATACAACTCCAAGACCAAAACATCACATCATTAATGGCGGGACCCACTGCCACCTAATTAGTGGGAGCACTAATTAGTGCTCCCAAGCATTTTTCAAAAATAACATTAGACTTTTACATTATTTTTCTTGAATGCTGTAACTATAGAAAATTCTGCCTTTTTAAATACATTTTTTTGTTTGTTTTGTTTACCTTCATTAACTTGACATTTTCAACTAGTATCATGTGTGTATATATATAAGTAATTTTATACTCTTTATTTTTAATTAGTTAAAACCTAAATAAAAAAAAAAAAAAAACAAACAAACAAATAAAAACAAAACAAAATATACTCTTAATTTTATCTAATCACTTTTCCATCTATGTATTCTAATAATATTATTTATTTTACCTATCCATCCACACAAACTATACAAAGAGCCTCCATAACTCTTCAAATATAGGTAGTCTCTGGAGAAAAAAATGTTAAAGAGCACCCATAGCTCTTCAAATATAGCTAGCTTAAAGGAAAAAAATATTAAAATACACATTGTAATAAGAGAAAATTGGTGATAAATTCAATTTAAAGAGTGTCTAAGGCATTAGGTTTAGTATATATATATTTTTTATTTGTGAGAGGTTCACAATTTGTAAAATAGTTTGGTGAGAAGTCTTTTTACATATTTTGAAGGGCATTTTATTTTCAATTTTACATCTTAATTTATTTGTTGACTTTTTTGACTATCTGTTGAAAATATTTTCTATCTGTTCAAATTTTTCATCTATTTGTCCAAATTATTTTCTATTTGTTCAATTTTTTTTGTCTATCTATTCAATTTTTTTTAATATCAATTTTCTATTTGTCCATTTTTTTGTCTATCTGCTCAAATCTTTTCCTCTCTCTACCTCTCTCCCCTTTTATGTTGCAATTTATTTCTTCATTACCGTCATCAACAACAGTATATAATAAAGAAAAAAAATTTAGACAGAAATTTTGAACATATCTGTTTGTTCCATCTCTTCATCAATAATAACAACAATAACAACAATCATCCAAAACTACAAATATATATATATATATATAATATGTTCAACAAATGCTTTGAAGTTGTGCATCTGTTCTAGAATTGAAAAAGCAACCTTTTCATCAGCAATCCTGATGGCATGTGTAGACACCCTATTTTTGACGGCCCTTAAGACTTGGGCACCACTGATTGATCATTCAATGATGAATGTGTACGCTTGCCGAATGATTGACTTCCTCAGCAAGAAACTTCAGTTTTGAACCTTCAAACCTTTTGCCTTGTTTTGGACCAAAACAGTGTTTTTTCAAGTCTGTGCCTCCAGGGACTTGCTGTCCACTAGTGTGGCATGCCGCCCACTAATGTGGCATGCCGGTCACAATTAGTGGCTGGCCACCCACTATTAGTGGCCTGTTGGTCACTAGAGCAAAAAAAATAGATATTTTCTGCCAGCTGTCCCTACAGAAGCATGCACAATTCCAGTTATATTTGTAAGGATATTTTTGAGGGTCTATCATATATTTCTATATATAGATGATCTTCTCTTTTGTTTTAAAGGTTAGAAAAATTTAGGAGTGAGAAAATATTTTTGGAAGAGCAAAATTTTGGAAAAATTCTCTTTCTCTACAATTCTCTCTCTCTGTTACAACTTACATAGCCTTTGCTCAAACACTCTAAACCAAATCTAGAGCGTTCTTTACTGAGGTGATTTGGGCTTGAATTTCAGCTCTTGGGGCACTTGAGAGTGTGAAATTGGTGGTTTGTAACTCAATGGATCATTCTTTTTCAAGAGGTATACATTCTAGGGCTTTTGTACTATCTTTACACTACTTGTTTTCCATCTTTTCTTGCTATTTTTGAGTTGTTTATTATCTTTATTTTTGGGCTGAAACTTTTGGTTTGAGGCCATTAAAGGTAGAGGGGTTGATAACCTTTCTTTGAACCTTACTTCTAAGGCCTTTGCCCTTGTGTTTCCCAACTTCTCATCAACTTTTTTTGAGCTTTGTACCATTGATTTTTAAAGGTTTTTCAAAGGCAAAAATCATGTTTTGAAGTCCTAGAAGTGGAGGGGCTAGCCTCCCCTCCTTGTGTTTGTGTGCTAACTTAATCCCTCAATATTTTAGCTTATTGTTTTAGCTATTTTTGTCTTAAGTCCAGCACTATTTTTGATTATTTTAGGACTATTTTTAGTTGTTCATTGCATTTGAGCTTTGTATAGCATGCTTGTAGTATAATAATCCTCATAGGCTTGGTGGTTTAGGTCTTAGCCACCGACCTATTTGAGTTGATAACATTTATTTTTTGCTTTCCATACTTGTTTTCACCTCTAATCATCTCTGCAACCTCCCTATTTTCTTGGCATTTTATTTGCTTTGAGAGTGGTTTTAAACCGATTGTTTGTTTAAGCTTGAGATTGTGGTTGTTGTGCTTAATGGTTTAATCCCTTTAGGGATTTATTACCAACGACATGACATCTCTCTCATGCCTAAAACAACATTTGTTTTGGTACTTCTCTCCATTAGTGGACTTGAAGCTCATTTTGGGACTTCATGAATTAAAAAATGAAAAGGTAATTAAAAGAGGTGTTAAGCTTGGACTAAAATGGAACAAGATAATAAAATGGTTTGGGTTCAATCGGATGTTCATTGAACCCATTGAGTCTTGAGTCGTTTCATACTCGTTAGTGATGAAAACGGTTTAAGAATCAATGTCAACCTGTTCTCTTGATTAATCCATGATAGAGAGGAGGTTTTGAGAGTCTTTTATTGTGCATTTTTTAAAATTGTATCCCTTAGTTCATAAGTCATCGCGCAATGAATTTGCACCGATTAATGGCTTACGAATCAAGCCTACCACTCCTTCGAGCTGTTTGATGATAAGGAGAGGTAGGGTGGACAAACATCTCTTGAGAATGCTCCGTTTGTTCTCTATTACAGCAGGAAATAACCAACATTAGTGGCTGGCCGGCCACTACTTCTGGGTTGCTGGCCACTTTTTCCAGGCAGGCAGTGTCCTTTTTCCAGTAGAGCAGAGCAGAGGTTGGGGTAGAAAAACAGTGCAATTTTCTAACTGTGTAACAGAGAGCATTATTGAGTGAAAATCCACATCTATGCATGACCCATTCCTTGATTCTCGGGATTTGTCAAAATGATGTTATAATATTAGTATGTTGTGCTTGGAGTAGCGGACTTGTAATTAATTAGTTATAATAGCTAGTTAGTTTTGTGTTATACTTATTTAAGCTAGAATAGTTAATCAAATTTGTTGTTGTAATAATTAGTTAATTAACTAGTGTAGTTAATTTATTTTATTTGGTTTGTAATAGTTAGTTAATTCGTAGTAATTAGCTAAGGCATTTATTCGGACCCTCCTGCGCGAGGGCAAACTTGTAATAATGTGTATGTCTTCCAAACCCACGTGTTTCTCCCTTTTATTTACTTACTTATAATGGGTAGTTAGAACATCATGTTTCTTTTAGCATACCCCATGTTTGCATCCACTTGTCTTGCATGCATCGAGACTCGGTTTATCATTCTAACAATGCATTGTAGTTTACATACTTCTTTGAAAAGGTGCTTAAACCTCATGCCATCAAATTGACTCATATGACATAATCAGTAGCCGAGTCTATTAATTGCATTATTGCTTGTATTGCATTAGCCATGTTGCATTAGTTAGGAGCGTGCATGTTTTCTAACTCTTTTGTTTCTTTTGGCTCGCCTCGAGAATTGGGGTAAG